TTAATTATAAAGATGTATGAACACCAGTGGGAACGTTTTTTTTTTTGTTTGTATTATTGTTCATATTTTTAAATGTATATCACTATAGCAAAATTTTCTTATAGCCAACAGAGTGGATTAGGATGAACATACATAAATGGTTGATTTGTTTAAATGTTAACAATTCAATGGGGGTTAAGTAATAAGTAGTCCTAATAAGCAGTCTGTCCAAACGTTTTTTCGTCAGATGGTGTCCTGCTCTCGCCCCGTTTACAGCTATGTAAGTGATAAGTATCAAAAATCTTGTTTTACCCGAAAATTGAATGTTGCAATGTTTAGTAAGTGAATCATTATCATAGAATCCCTGTGTATTAAACTGTAATAATTAAAACAGTGTCCTCCTCTCACCCCGAACAGAGAGGCGATGCCACATGCCATGACGCCTGCTTTGTTGTTAGGGAATATATATAATATAATATATATATATATATATATATATTATATATATATTATGTATATATAATAATATATATAATATATATATTTATATATATAGTTTTTCCCCATGGATACAGTAACAGAATTCGTCGAAGGAGACAGTTTTGGCAGTTTCAGTGAAGGGATTAGGAGTAGAATCATATACTTCTGTAATGTGTAACAATGTAAAATCGTGAACTGATCACCTTTTGTACAAGTAAATAATGGAAAGATACTGTAAGAACAGTGATGATTGTCTAGGCCCTGTCTCACATTTATTTTTATTTTCGTTACAGTAAAGGTTTTAATGTTTATTGCTAAGATCTACATTGTGATATGCCACCTGTTTATTATCATTTGTTTTACAGAATATTTAAGTAATATTTAAGAATGTTTCTGTGACCATTGTAGCTTTGGCACACACTCAACAGAGGAATGAATTTCGTCCACCCCGTGCACCTTAAATCCGTGAAGTCATGCTACCCATGTTAAAATTAGGCGTCAAAATTGGGATTTCTAGGGATGGTGCTGGTGATGATATAATGTTATCATTTGCATTAAAATTGATATTGGCAAAACTGGCAACAATAAATTGATAAAGAGTAGAAATTTATTCATACTTTGTATATGAAAAATCTAGCTGACATATATATATATATATATATATATATATATATTATATATATATATAACCCTAATCATTGCAGGCAAGTACATGCCTGCAATAACTTAGGTTCGAGTCCCGGTCGGAGAGGATAAGTTATTTAGTGCTTTCTTCCATCTTTCACACACACACACACACACACACACACACACACCACACACACACACACACACACACACATATATATATATATATATATATATATATATTATCTATCTATCTATCTATCTATCTATCTATCTATATATATATCTATATATATTATATATATATATATATATACATATATATAAATATATATATATATACATATATATATATATATATATATATATATATATATGTGTGTGTGTGTGTGTGTGTTGTGTGTGTGTGTGTGTGTATACACATATATACACCATTATCGCCACTATTATTCTTACCCTTAACAATATCTATCATTCACTATCATCTTTATTGTTATCATCATCACAGTCATTATCATCACCATCTTCATTTTTACTATCATTATTAGTATTATTATTATTATTGCTTTAAACATCATTATTGTTATTATTCTTATTATCATTAAACTTTCCATCATTATCAGTATCATAATAACAATAATTATAATAAGTATCATCATCAATATTATTAATATTATCATTATTATAATAATTACTACTAATAATAATGGTAAGAATAAAACTAAGAATACCAATAACAATAATAATAGTTATCATTATCACTATTATTATCATTATATAACTAATGATAATATAACTTTCATTATTATTATTATTGTTACTATTATTATTATTATTTTCATTATAACTAACATTATTACTACCATTATTATTATGATCATAATCATCACTATCATTATTATTATTATCATTATTATTTATCATATCATTTCATTTATCAGATTGTATCATTATCATTGCATACATATATCATTATCATTAACACTATTATTATTATTATTACAACTGCATTATCATTTCTCTTATATCCATCCGTCTCATCAGCATTACTAGCATTATCACCATTAATTATCATGAATAACATGATCATCATTAACGATTTATCTATATTCATTTATGATTCCTTGAATTAAATTTTAGGAAGCAACAAACTCCGCTTTCCACCGCCTTGTTTCAACACTGAAGAAGATAAGATAATAATTAAGCTGATAAGAAGGGTCGCAGCTTATCTGATAAGAGAGGGCCTCCACTGGCAGCATGAGCGGCTCAGAAATGTCTTTATCTCGCTCAAGGGCCAGCGAGGGAATCGTGGAGGCTGAATTATAGTGAAATAAGCTAGAAATAAATTGGAAATATTTGGAACGATGAGCCTCGCTTGGTATTATGTGCCCTTTATATGTCTGTCTATCTAAACAGACACACGCACAGGCGCACACACACATATCTCCTTCACCAGTCTACTTGCAAATGCATCTTTGTTAATAAATGCGTCCTCGTAAGCAGATTATTACCGTAATTGCTGGGTCTGTAAAATATTAAAAATTATACCTAGTGAAAGGATGCATAAATCATAATAAAACATAATAATACCGACATTGCAAAAAAAAAAAAAAAAAAAAAAAAAATACACGAGAACACTTACGACATTCTCCTCTCGACCTCCTTCCTCCTGGGCGCCGAGGAAGAGGCGGGCGGCGAGGAGGAGGCGACGGGCAGCGAGCTCTTGCCCGCGGGCAGACTGGCGCTCCTCGTCACAAAGAGGGGCTTCCGCCGGGCCGTGGGCGTGCTGGGTGTGGCGGGGTCGGAGGCGGACGAAGAAGAGGAAGAGGTGGAAGAGGTAGAATTGGAAGCGGATCCCGAGGTGGCGAGGACCCGGCTCTTGATCTTCTGCTCCAGCCAGTTGAATCCTTTGATCTCCTGCGCGAGACGTCGACCTCGCTCCTCCTCGTGCAGGACCTCCCGACGCTGCTGCGCCTCCTGGATAGCCGTGGCTCGCCCTGCGCCGCCTGCGGGAGGATGAGACAAGGGCTCAGCTCTGGGCTCTCCAAGAAGCTAACAAATACACACTCAGGCTACTAGCAAGTGGACAACCAAGGGATTCCCGGAAGGTCATCCAAGTGGCTAAATCTAAGGGGCTCTGTGGTTCTCCCTAGTGGCCATGGCGGCTTCTCAGTGATAACAACAATAATAATGAGTAGTAGTAAGGCTAACTAAGGCCCTCTTGGGGATCTCCTAAGCTAACTATGGACTCTAAGGGGCTCAAGTGGCCAAGGATACCTGTCAGCATGAAAATGGCAATAACTATGTAATGTCAGTCTACGTACATTGGCAGATAAAACGTGCACAGGTGAGCTAAATTAACTATGAATACGAATGACATCTATACACAGATAGCACTTAGAACGTCGTGAAAAGAGTTATGTGCACCACATTTACATGCGCAAATGTACCACCTGTGTCAATTTGAAAACGAAATATATCTTGTAAATGCAACACGCGTTTCATGCTAGAGAGAACATTAAAAAGTATAAGTGGACTAGACTACGCAATAATATCGTGCAGTGCTAGAGAGTCGCACCTGCCTAAATACATTCTTGTGTATTCAGATAAAATGTGCATGTAAGGGTTCTTTTGTATGTACATAGACACGCGCACAGAAACCAGTCTAGAAGGAGACATAAAGACGGTACTATGCACATATGTCTCTATGCCTCTCTCCGTTTATTGCTCTCTCTCTCTCTCTCTCTCTCTCTCTCTCTCTCTCTCTCTCTCTCTCTCTCTCTCTCTCTCCTCTCTCTCTCTCTCTCTCTCTCTCTCTCTCCTTTCCCCTTCCTTCTTCTCTCCCTCTTCCTCCGTTCTGTCCTTTCATCCGTCATTACATCTTCCCTCTCTCCATTCACATTGTTCCCCTTTCTATCTCTCTATTCCCCTATCCCACTCACTCCCTCCCCCCCCCCTCTCTCTCTCTCTCTCTCTCTCTCTCTCTCTCTCTCTCTCTCTCTCTCTCTCTCTCTCTCTCTCTCTCTCTCTCTCTCTCTCTCTCTCTCTCCCTCTCTCTCTCTCTCTCCGTCTTTTGTAAGATTTTCGTATAAATAAAGCATAATGGTTGTATTCAAAGACGACATCAATCCTTTTTATGGCAAACTTATACGACCGTCGTAAGAATCAAGTGAAGTGCAAGTTATATCCCATTATGAAATCGCCTTTTCAAGAATGCTGCGCCCTCAAGGCCAACCCACACATATCTTGTTTCGAAAATGTTTAAATTTCTGTGACTTAACGTAACAAATATGGAAAGATGAAAAGTGGAACATTTAATGTATACGATAATATCCCATGAAAGAAAACAAGTGAATAGATAAACGGAACAAATAAAATAAAAATGGATGCAAAATTAAAAGCAATTCATCTGCATTGCGACATTAACCGCTTCGCTGACAGAAGAATCGAGAAAGTTCTAAGAAACTATAATGACGCACATGATTGTAAGATGATGCTGAAATCTATTATTAACCTCGGGTATATGTTCAAAAAAGTATCTATCCTTCGCAAAGTATTATCTAGTAGGTACTTGAGAGGGAAACGTGCATAAGGTTCAGTATTTCCTCGTCAATAAAGTACTTTCACCCATGAGCGTCGACCTGATTCTTGTAGCTCTGTTTATGAATACCGGGAAGTGGCCTAATTGGCGAAGGCTTTTCGCATCGTATATGAGCACAGCTGATAACTCAAACGATTTCTCGAAAAAAGTGTTGCTTAGCAAAAATCAGAGGGGGAGGGAATGAGGGCGGGAAGGAGAGAGAGAGAGAGGGAGGAGGATGGAGGGGAGAGAGAGAGGAGAGAAGAGGGGGGGGAAGAGAGAGAGAGAGGGAAGAGAGAAAAGAGAGGGGAGAGAGAGAAGAGATAGAGGAGAGAGGGAGAGAAAGAGGGAGGAGGAGGGAGGAAGGGAGGGAGGAGGGGAGGAGAGGGGAGGGAGGGAGGGAGGGAGGGAGGGAGGGAGGGAGAGGGAAGGAGGAGGGAGGGAGGGAGGGAGGGAGGGAGGAGGGAGAGGGAGAGAGAGAGAGAGAAGAGAGAGAGAGAGAGAGAGAGAGAGAGAGAGAGAGAGAGAGAGGAGAGAGAGAGAGAGAGAGAGAGAGAGAGAGAGAGAGAGAGAGGGAGAGAGAGAGAGAGAAAGAGGAAAGTAAGAAAAAGAGGGAAAAGAGAATGAGAAAACAGGACAAACAAACAACCACCCAACCAACAAGACACAAAGAGAAAATGAATATAAAATCCTGCGCATTTGAAATCATGACAATATTTTAGCTTTCCATCATGCGATTCAAAAGTCAAGGACAACCCTTATGGGGTAATCATAAAAACAGAAATGAATCATACGAGGCTGCATATCATGCAATAAAATACGTGTCAATGTCAGTGCTAAGGCAACGGTAATAAACAATATTATTAATAATAATAATAATAATAATAATAATTATTATATTACTACGACTACTAATACTAATATTACTTATAATACTACTATTACTACTAATAAAACAATAATAATGGTAATAATGATAATAAAAATAATAACAATAATAATAACAATAACGATGATGATAATGATAATAATAATGTAATTACCATTCTGTTATTATTGCTATCATTATTACTATCATCATCATTATCATAATCATTAAAAGAACAATAATGATAATGATAATAACAATTTCAGTAATGACATCACTGGCGTCTACAACAACAACAACAATAATAGTTATTATCATAACCTAACAATGATTATAAAAAAAACAATAATACTAATAAAACATAAACAATAATGAAAATAAGGATTACAGACTAATAATAATCATACCAACAGTAAGAATAATAATAACAATAATAACAATAAAAATAATAATATTAATAATGAAATTATTGATAAAGATAGAGATAATGATCCGGATGATAACGGTAATAACAAGGAACTGGTGAAAACAATAACAGGAACAGGAACAGTAATCATATCAGTGGAAACAAGAACAAACATAATACAAATAATGAAAATACAATAATAACTGCAACAATAACAACAAATACAACAAGAAGCACTCAGAGAACGCATACCTCAGCCAAGGCAACAGGGTCAGTAATGCAATAGTAAAATTCAAACGAAGAATTACATTAAAATCAACCCTCTCTCGCGTACACTGGTGACGTCCGTAAACATAATGATACCCCCCCCCCATTGCATTGGCAACGGGGATAAAAATTATGATGTAATTATTCTTAAAAATTCCTGGATCTGGTCCACCACTAACCAAAACTATCAAAAACATAACGTCCTTGGTGGAGCTGACAGATAAGAACAATAGTAATGGTAAAAATGATAATAACAATAATAACAATAACATCAATAATGCTGCTGCTGCATATGGTGATGAAAACAATAATATCAAACAGAAAAAAATAAAATAAAGAGAACAACAGCAGTAATAATAATGAGGATGAGGATAACAATAATAAAGATGATAATAAAAATAATAACAATAATAATAGTAACAATAATAATATTGATAATAACAATAATAGCAATAATAATAATAATAATAATAATAATAATAATAATAATAATAAGTTGATGATAAAATAATAACAATAATAATATTGATAATAATAATAATAAATAACAATAATAATAATAACAATAATAATAATAATAATAATAATAATAATAATAATAATGATGATGATGATGATGATGATGATGATGATGATGATGATGATGATGATGATGATGATGATGATGATGATGATGATGATGATGATGATGATGATGATGATGATGATAATAATAATCATCATAATAATAGTAATAATAATAATAATAACAATAATAATTAATAATAATAATAGTAATAATGAAAATAATAATAATAATAATAATAATAATAATAATAATAATAATAATAATAATAATAATAATAATAATAATAATAATAATAATAACAATAATAATAATAATAATAGTAATAATAATATTAATCAGGATAAAAACAATAACAACAATAAAAATGAAAAAAAATATATGTGAATAACAACACTAACAATAAAATGATAGCAATAATAATAATAACAAAAGCAATAACATTGATGATGATAATGATAATAAAGCAATAATAACAATAACAACAACACGAACAACAATGATGATGATGATGATGATGATAATTATGATGATGATGATGATAATAATGATGATGATGATAATAATAATAATGATAACGAAAATGATAACACCTATAGCAATAGCATTAATAGTATTAGTAATGATGCTGTCAATGAAACAGATACTGCGGTTTCTCATAATAATAATAATAACAGTAACGATAATAATGATAATTATAATAATATGAATAATAATAATAACAACAACAATAATCCTACTACCAATAATAATGCTTATATAAATAATATTGATAATGATAACAAAATGACACTAATAGTAATAACTTCAACAACAATAATAATGATGAAAGCAAAGTAATATGTTGATAATGATAATATCAGTAATAATTACAATGACGACAAGAATGAGGAAAGAAGCAAAGCAATTACAGCAACAAAAAAAGTGAGAGTAATAATAGCATTAATAATAATAATAATAATAATAATAATAATAATAATAATAATAACAAAACAACAGAAATCGTAATATTAAAAGAAACAACAATAATGATGAAAATGGGGATAGCAATAACGAGAATAATGAAAATGGTTGTGAAAATGACAGCAATAATGATGATATCAGTTTTGATGATGATAAGGACAATGGTATATTTATATGTTTGTGTGTGTGTGTGCGCGCATTCATATATACATACATATATATGTTTATGTATGTATGCATGTATATATATATATATATATATATATATATATATATATATATATATATATTATATATATATATATATATATATATATATATATATATATATATATATATATATATATGTATATGTAT